GCTGAGGGAGCGCCGCACTGTCGGAGGGTCAGCGCTGAGGGAGCGCCATACTGTCTGGTGGCGATGGTGGTTTGGTGTGTGGGGGTGGGGAGATCAAAAACCTTAGACTCAAACATTTCCGAGTAGAATTTATTATAAAGGATGTAATAGCAGAGCATTTAGAAATACATAATACAATCAAGCAGAGTCAGCGTGGGCTCAAGAAAAGGAAATCCGGCCCTGACACATTTACTAGAATTCTTTGAGGAGGTAGCAAGCAGTAGGTGTACTCTGTTGGATTCTCCAATGGTGCTTGATAATTTCCTGTGTATTGGGTTATTCAGGAAGGTGAGAGCTGTGGTGTTGGAGGGTAGGATCCAAGATGGCACAGACACTGCAACTCCTTGTGAGCTCCCTACAGATCTAGCTCTAACGGTTCTTATATCTTATAACCCTTCTACACTTTTAAACTTAAATTCTAAATCTGTAAAAATTACTCTTGTTCTTCTGATTTCACCTAGCCCATGCCCTGTGCAATGTAACCTATACACCTCTGTCTAAGTCTTTTTGATCTGTACATCCTTGCTTGCTGTGATCTGCCTTACCGCTTGTAAACAAAGCTTTTCACTGTATTTTGGTACATGTGACCGGAAATGACAGTACTCACCATAACGGACCAAACAGTATAAATTCCAAGCAGAGTAGAACAACATTGCTTCATCGGAGGCCTAAGTGATGATGTTACCTAGCATGGTGACAAAATGTCTGAACGAGAACAAGCCAGCTCAGTGAGCAAGTCAACAACCTGACCTACAGATCTTCACTAAAACCTTAAACTGTGTACAGTTTTGGGCCCCTTATCAAAGAAAAGACAGACTGGCGCTGGAGGCAGCCCAGAGAAGTTTCACTTGGCTGATACTAAAGGATGTTAGTGAACCAGATGGGTTTTTCTGACAATCGACAATGGATACACGATCATCATTAGATTCTTAATCCAGATAGTTATTGAATTCAAATTCCACCATCTGTCGTGGCAGGATTTCAACCTGGTCCCCAGAACGTTATTTGGGTCTCTGGATTAACAGTCCAGTGATAATACCACTAGGCCATGGCCTCCCCTTATGAGGAGAGGTTGAGTAGTTTGGGCCTGTACTCATTGGAGTTTAGAAGAATGAGAGACGACCTTATTGAAGGTTCTCAGGAGACTTGACTGGGTAGATGCAGAAAGATTGTTTCCCCTTGTGTGCAAGTCTAGGACCAGAGGGCATCGTCTGAGAGTAAGGGGTCCCCCGTTTCAGACAGAGATGAGGAGGAATTTCTTCTCGGAGGGTAGTGAATCTGGAATTCCTCACTACCAAGGCCTATCTAAGCTAGGTCATTAAATATATTCAAAGCTGAGACAGATAGCTCTTTAATCAGGAAGGGAGTTGAGACTGACGGGGTAAATGCATGCCCCCTAGTTTAAGACTTTTCAACTGTGGGATAAAGATTCTGACCCTCAACCCTATCTATGCATCTCATAGTTTTATAGACTTCTATCAAGTCTTCCCTCAGTCTCCACCACTCCAGAGAAACAAACTGAGTTTTTCTAGCCTCTCCTTATAGCTCATACCCTCTAATCCAGGCAGCATCCTGTCCAAAGCCTCTACGTCCTTCCTGGAATGTAGCGACCAGAAATGAATACAGTGGTCTAGGTGTGTCCTAACCAAAGTCTGAAAAAGCTGCAACATGACATCTGACTACTTAGTTCCCCAACCAATAAGGGCAAGCATGCCATATGCCTTCTTTATCTGCTTCTGTGGACACTTTCAGGGAGCTATGGGCTTGAACCCCAAGATCCCTCTGAACATTTATGCTGTTCAGGGTCCTGCCATTAACTGTGCACTTTTCCATAACATTTGATCTCCCAAAGTGCAGCACCTGACACTTACCCAGATTAAACTCCATCTAACCCTTTCTGCTCCTATGATGCTGCTTGGCCTGCTGTGTTCATCCAGCCCTGCACCTTGTTGTCTCCATCTGCTATTTCTCTGCCCATATCTGCAACTGATCTACATCCTGCTGTATCCTTTGACAACCTTCTACACTATCCACAATTCTACCAATCTTTGTATTGTTTGCAAGCTTACTAACCCACCCATCTACAGTTTTTTTCCATTTATTTTGTGGAATGTGGGTGTCGCTGGCTGGCCAGCATTTCTTGCCCATCCCTAGTTGCCCTTTCATCCTAGTCCTTTATATATATCACAAACAGCAGAGATCCCAGTACGGATTCCTGCAGAACATCACTTGTCACCGACCTCCAGCCTGAAAAACATCGTTCCACCACTACCCTCTGTCTACTATGGCAAGCTAATTCTGAATCCACGTGGCCAAGTCACCGTGGATCCCATTCACCTTAACCTTCTGGATGAGCCAACCAGGAGGGACCTTGTCGATAGCCTTACTAAAATCCATGTAAACAACATCCACTGCTCTACCCTCATCGATCATCTTCATAACCTCCTCAAAAAATTTCATCAAGTTAATAAGACATGACCTGCCCGGCACAAAGCCACGCTGATTGTCCCTAATTAGGCCATGCTTTTCCAAATGTATGTAAATCCTATCCCTAAGAATTCTCTCCAACAGCTTCCCAACCACCAATGTGAGACTCACCAGTCTGTAGTTTCCTGGATTATCCCTATTTTCCTTCTTGAACAGAGGAACAACATTAGCTACTCCGCACTCCTCCAGGACCTTTCCAGTGGCTAGCGAGGATACAAGGATCTTGGTCAAGGCCCCAGCAATCTCCTCTCTTGTTTCTCTCAAAAACCTGGGGTAGATATCATCGGGCCCTGGAGACTTATCCACCTTAATGCTCTTCAAGAGACCCAACACCACTACTTTCTTGATCTTCAAATGCCTGAGCATGTTAGCATACTCCACACGAATCTCACTATCCTTCGTATCCTTCTCCTGGGTGAATACCGATGCAAAGTACTCATTTAGGATCTCACCCACATTCTCTGCCTCCAAGCAGAAGTTCCCTCCTTTATCCTTGAGTAGTCCTATCTTCTCCCTAGTTATTCTTTTTAATGTATCTATAAAATTGGGATTCTCTTTAACCCTACATGCCAACGTCATTTCATGGCCCCTTCTTTCTCTCCTAATTCCCTGGTTGAGTTCTTTCCTGCTTTCCTTATATTCCTCATGGGCCCTGTGCAATTTTAGCTTCCTAAGCCTTACATATGTTGTTTTTTCCCTTTTGACTAAGTTCACAACCTCCCTTGTTATCCAAGAGTCCCATACCTTGCCAACCTCGTCCTTCCTCCTTACTGGAACATGTCGGTCTTGAACTCTCCCCAAAAAGTCTTTAAACAGTTCCCACATGTCATAAGAACATAAGAACTAGGAGCAGGAGTAGGCCGTCTGGCCCTTCGAGCCTACTCCGCCATTCAGTAAGATCATGGCTGATCTTTTCGTGGACTCAGATCCACTTACCCGCGTTCTCACCGTATCCCTTAATTCCTTTATTGTTCAAAAAAAATCTACCTTTTTTTTAAAAACGTTTATTGAAGTAGCATCAACTACTTCACTGGGCAAGGAATTCCATAGATTAACAACCCTCTGGGTGAAGAAATTCCTTCTCAATTCAGTCCTAAATCTGCTCCCTCTAATCTTGAGGCTATGCCCTCTTGTCCTAGCTTCACCTGCCAGTGGAAACATCCTCTCTACTTCTATCTTATCTATTCCCTTCATAATTTTATATGTTTCTATAAGATCCCCCCTCAATCTTCTGAATTGTCGAATGTGGACTTGCCTGATAAGAGCTCCTCCCAATGAACAATCCATAGCTCCTTCCTAATACTGTTGTAATTTGCCCTCCCCTAATTTAGTAGCTTCCCAAAAGGTCCTGTCTTATTCTTATTCATAGCTATCTTAACTTTGTTTGTGATCACTGTTTCCAAAATGCTCTCCCACTGAAAGGTCAGTCACCTGGCCAGGCTTGTTAGCCTATACAAGGTCTATATGGCCCTTTCTCTAGTTGGACTATCCACATACTGTTTCAAGAAGCCCTCTTGGATGCACTTAACAAATTCTGCCCTGTTTAAGCCTCTTGCTCTAATGGAGTCCCAGTCAATATTGGGGAAGTTAAAGTCACCCACTATGACAATTCTGTTTTTATTGCACCTTTCTGTAATCTGCTGACATATTTGTTCCTCAGTCTCTCGGTGGCTGTTGTGGGGGCCTATAGTATAATCCTATCAGAGTGATTGTACCCATCTTATTTTTGAGCTCTACCCATTTTGCCTCAGGGGATGAGCCCTACAGTATGTTCTCTCTGAGTGCAGATGTGACATTCTCCCTGATTAGTAATGCAACTCCTCCACCTCTTTTACCTTCCTCTCTATCTCGTCTAAAACAATGAAACCCTGGAACGTTGAGCAATCAGTCCTGTCCCCCTCTCAACCAAACCTCTTTAATGGCCACAACATCATAGTCCCATGTTCTGATCCAGGCTCTAAGCTCATCTGCCTTACCTATAATACTCCTTGTATTGAAATAAACACACTTCAGCCTGGTCGAGTCTTCATGTTCATTATGTGTCTCTGCTTGTCCTTCCTTTCTGATTCATTGGTCCTAACGTCTACCTTCCCCTCAATCCCTCCACTTGCTGACCTGCTGTTCTGGTTCCCAGCCCCGTCAGGTCAACAGTGATCTTATTGAATGGTAGAGGAGGCTCAATGGACTGAATAGCCTACTTCTTATGCCTTGTGGTCTTATGGTCTACACATTGAGCAGACTCACAAAATACTTCACTGACTGAAGTACTTCATGGCACCTTGAAGTTATGAGACATTTTTTTATTCTTTTAAATGCAGTTTGTTGTTGTAGGTATTAGTGAGTGGATGTTTCCAGTGCATTAAGCCATCGATGTGTTTAAAGATCGGTGCACATGGTTTCTGCATACTCTGTTCTCACACCTTCTGTCTCTGTGCCCGCCTCCTGTGTCCATCCCTGTAACCTCCTTCCTCAGTTAGTTGAATGGGTCAGCCATGGGGACTGGCAAGGTGTCTTTTACAGTCTCTGAGCTGAGTCAGCTGCAGCCTTGGTGATGACATTGGGAGTGACAGGGATAGCCTTTGTACTCTTTGGAGCGAGGATTGTGGAACTGACTGGTCTTCCTGCTCCCGATCACAGCCCTGTCATTCCTATTGGAAGTGAGGAGGTGGGGAGGGGGTTTGGGACTTGGGGGAACATTGGCTAAGCAACATTCAAAATGGTCAGCAGTGCTGGGGGTGGTGATGATGGGCGAGGGGTCAGTTTGCAGTGAGTTTGACACTGGGGGAAGTTAGTTGTTGATAGTTAGGTCTATCCCATTCTCACCAATTTTTCTCCTTTTGTTTCCCAGCGATGTGAGCAGTGTCTGCAGCAGTGATGGGCTCTTCACCAATGATGAAGGACGGCAAGGTACAGGCTCTCAATCACACAAATAGTTTGTAAGACACTCTGGTACATCCCCACCGTGACAGAATTACAAAGCAGGGAAGGTACATTGAGCTTGTCCACAATCTTGGTTAGAGGACCTGAGAGCTCTAAATAATTCTCGCTTTGTATCATAAACCATTTTCTGAAGAAACAGTGGCAAAGGTTTATGACAGTAACAGATATAAACAGGCCATTCAGCCCTCCAACTTGTGTGCTATCCAGTAAGATCATGGCTGGCCTGCTTCAGCAGGCCTTTTGTTCACGACCTCCAGATTTTATTTCCCATATTCTTTTAGGGATGTGGCTGTCTGTGGAAAGCCCTGCATTTGACCTCAAACTGAGTAGCTTACTCAGTGTTTCCACACGGCATTTAAGAGTCAAACACATTACTGTGTGTCTGGTGTCACAGACCAGACAAGGACAGAAGTTTCCTTCCTTAAAGGAAATTAGTGAACCAGATCAGTTTTCCTGACAAATCAATGGTAATTTTGTGCACACATCATTAAGACTAGTTTTGGATTCTTTCATGAATGTATTGAATCTATGTTTCACCATCTGTCCCTTGGTGGGATTTGAATCTAAATCTTGAGAGCATTACCCTCCAACTGTATTCTCCTTGATCATTCTGCTCCTGCGTATGAGAGATATAAAACAGTAAGAGCTGGAGTAACACAGCTGGTCTGGCAGCATCTGCAGAGAGAGAACCAGAGTTAACGTTTTAACTTAAATAACACAGTGTGGAGCTGAAGGAACACAGCAGGCCAGGCAGCATCAGAGGAGCAGGAAAGTTAACGTTTCGGGGCAGGATCCTTCTTCAGAAACGTCAGCTTTCCTGCTCCTCTGATGCTACCTGGCCTGCTGTGTTCCTCCAGCTCCACACTGTGTTATCTCAGACTCCAGCATCAGCAGTTCTTACTTTCTCTTAACGTTTTAACTTGTCTCTTCTTTGGAATTGCTGTATGTCTGAGCACAAGATCCCCATCCTGACTGAAACTTCAATACCGTGGAATGTTGAGCTGCCATTCCTTCTCCCATGTTGCAGTGATTGCAACATTGTCATATTCCCGTGTGCTGATCAATGCTCCAAGTTCATCCGCCTACCAGTCAGGCTCCTTGCATTAAAATGATACAAATGCAACTTTCTTGTCCTCCTAAATGCCTTAGCCTACCCATATCTTCTCTGCCTAATGAATTGTCTTAGCATTCCTTCTCTATCTGATTAGCCCTTGCTCCTGACTTTACATTACTATGCATCCATCCCCTGCCGCATTAGTTTAAACCTCCCCACTAGCACGAGCGACCTCCCAGCAAGGAGATTGGACCCATTCGGGCTCAGGTGAAAGCTGTCCAGTTTGTATGGGTCCCACCTACCCCAGAAACTCCCCCCATGATCCAAAAATCTAAGGCCCTCCATCCTTTAGCCACTTGTTTATGTGACATTTCTTCCTATTCTTACACTGGAAGTAATCCAGAGATTACAATTATACAACCTTGGAAGTCCTCCTCTTTAATCTACTGTCTAACTCTCTCAATTTGTGTTGCAGGACCTCATTTGTTTAGTTACCTGTAGTGTTGGTACCAATATGTACCACGACTGCTGGCTGCTCACCCTCCTGCTTCAGAATGCCCTGCAGCTGGCTCTGTTCAGGAATATTCTCAAATTCAATCTGAGGCTGTGCTATGGATCCCTCTTACCCAGCAGCTCCTTTCTGACAGTGGCACTGAAGTGTTTCGGTGTAACAGGAGGCCACTCTGTCCATTGAGTCTGCACTGCCTCTTCAACTGAGTTTCATTACCTAGTGCCAATCTGCAGATTTTCCCCCATATCCTTGCGGATTATTTTTATCCAATTAACCATTCAGTGCCCAGTTGAACCTCTGCGTGCAGCATATTTCCAAGCAGTGCGTTCTGAACCCTAACTGCTGGGGTGAAAAAACTGGTGGAAAAGCTTTTTTCTCGCATCACGTTTTTTTTTTTGCAAATTACTTTCAATCTCTGCCCTCTGTTCATAAACTATAGGGGCTGAATTAGGGTTTGCCCACCCCCATTTTCCTGCCTCCCTCCCATAACCCTTCAAACCCTTACCCATTAAAAATCTGTCTAACTCTTCCTTAAATTTACCCACTGTCCCAGCATCCACCGCACTTTCAGGTAACAAATTCCACTGATTCTTCATCCTTTTCCAAGTGGGAGTGGTTCTCCTGATCTACTCCATCCAGCCCACTTACGATTTTGTGAACCTCTATCAGATCTCCTTTTGACCTCCTTCTCTCCAAGGGGAACAGTCTCAACTTCTTCAGTCTATCCTCATCACTGAAGTTTCTCTGGGACCATTCATGTAAACTGCTTCTGCAGTCTCTCCAGTGCGTTCAGACCTTCCGATAATGTGGCACCCAGAACTGTGCACAGTACTCCAGCTGAAGCCTAACAAGTTTATGGACTCCATGTGAACTCTGCTTCTCACTGTGCAGTTGCTGCCAGATCTGCTAAGTTTCTCCATCTTGAGTTTCAGATTTTTAGCATCTGCAGTTCTTTGTAGAAGAGAAGAGGCTGAGGTGTGACCTGATAGAGGTCTTTAAGATTGTGAAAGGGATTGACAAGGTATCAGGAGCGGGTGAGATGCTCAACACAGATGGTCCCTGAGCAGTCCCTCTGAGAGTTCAGAGGAAACCACTCCATTCAGAGATAGCAGTGAGAATGAGGAGCTGTACAGCTGGAGTGCTTGAGACAAATATTTTTCATTCCAAAGTAAGCTGGATGAGATTGATTAGGAAATAATGAGAAGGATAAGCTGATTGGGTGAGAAGCAGTAATGTAGGGGGAGGACTATGTGCAGCATTCACACCACCATAGGTCTTGTGGTTCAGTGGTAGTGTCCTTACCTCTGAGACAGAAGGCAAGGGTTCAAGGCCCACCTGCTCCAGACGTGTGTCATAACAGCCTCAATAGGTGGTTTTTAAACAAAACCCCATTGACTGGCAAATACTTTGTACTGACAGCATTGAGCCCTGACTCCTCCTCCTCCAAATCAGAAAGAATCTTTCAACATCCATCAAACAATAAACATTGTCTGAGGATCCCATGGTATTGATCAGCATCATGGGGTGGAAGTGGACAGACTTACCCCCCCACCCACTGCTGACTGTGTCCTGGGAATGTTTGATAGTGATAGTGTAGAAGGAGTTTTACTCTGTATCTAACCCCATGCTGCCCCTTTCCTGGGAGTGTTTGATGGGGACGGTGTAGAGGGAGCTTTACCACGTATCAGGGAGCGGTACTGGGTCCACTTTTGTTTGTCATTTATTTAAATGATTTGGATTAGAATATTGAACACATGGTTAGTCAGTTTGCGGATGACACTAAAATTGGTAGCAAAGCGGACATTGAAGAAGGTTATCTAAGATTACAAACGGATCTTGATCAGTGGGGCCAATAGGCTGAGGAGTGGCAGATGGAGTTTAATTTGGGTAAATGTGAGGTATTGCATTTTGGTAAAACAACACGGGCAGGACTTATGTAGTTAATGGCTGGGCCCTGGGTGGTGGTGTCGAACAGAGAGACCTAGAGGTTCAGGTACATTAATTCTTTGAAGTTTGCATCACATGTAGGCGGGGTGATTAAGAAGACATTTAGCACACTTGCCTTCATTGCTCAGTGTAGGAGTTGGGACGTCATGTTGAGGTTGTACAGGACGTTGGTGAGGCCTCTTCTGGAGGTCTGGTCACCCTGCTATAGGAAGGATATTATTAAACTGGAGCGAGTTCAGAAGAGATTTACCAGGATGTTGCTGGGAATGGAACGTTCTAGTTATACAGAAAGGCTGGATAGACTGGGACTTTTTCACTGGAGCGTAGGACATTGAGAGGTAATCTTATAGAGATTTTTAAAACCATGAGGGACATGGGAAGGTTGAATGGTAGGTGTCTTTTCCCTAGGGTGGAGGATTTCAAGACTAGGGGACATATTTTTAAGGTGAGAGGAGAAAGATTTAAAAAGGACATGTGGGGCAATTTTGTTTTACACAGAGTGGTTTGTGTGTGGAATGACCTTCCTCAGGAAGTGGTGATGCAGCTACAGTTACAACATTTAAGAAACATTGGTATAAGTTCATGAATAGGAAAGGTTTGGAGGGATATGGGCCAAGTGCAAGCAAGTGGGACTAGTTTAGTTTGGGAACATATTTGGCATGGACTGGTTGGACCAAATGGCCTGTATGACTGTGTAAAATCCGAAAGAACTGCGGATGCTGTAAATCAGGAACAAAAACAGAAGTTGCTGGAAAAGCTCAGCAGGTCTGGCAGCATCTGTGAAGAAAAAATTGGAGTTAACATTTTGGGTCCAGTGTCTGTTCTGAGGAAGGACCCGAAATGTTGACTCTGATTTTCTCTCCACAGATGCTGCCAGACCTGCTGAGCTTTTCCAGCAACTTCTGTTTTTGCTCTATGACTCTGTGCTGACCTTGTCCTGGAAGTGTTTGATGGGAAACAATATATTGACACAGTGAACCAATAGCTTGGTAAGAGCTCTCCTGAGCTTTGCCCCGGGGGTGTCCCTTGATCTCCCAGTTGTAATCACGGGGAGCAGTGACTGTGTGTCACTGACTGATTGTCTGAGTAACCTTGGCAGTGCCCTTTCTGCCCTGCGGTCTCTATGCCCTGGGTTAAACTGTTTCACTGGGTGAGCTTCCACAAGGTAGAGAGCTGCAGCCTGGCACGTTTGGACACGGTTTCTTGTTAGCTGTGTGTCTGTGTTAATGTGAGCTTGTCGGTTTGAGTTAATGAGGAGTGAAAGGTTTGCTAATCACATTGGCTCTGGAAATGGCAAGAAATTTAACAGTTGTCAGAACACTTTGTCTGAGCAAGTCTACGGCGCTGCGAGATGAGGTGAGTGACAGTCCTGTGCTTTGGGACTTCTGATTCAGAATGGGGGTTGGGGGCAATGAGGGAAGCACAAGACTGGCCAAGGTGGGGGATTAGACTCTGAGGGTCAGTCTGTCTTTCTGCTTGGAGTCTGCGGGAAAGACTTAACTAGCTGTCTCTGAATCCATTTAACTTTTGAGAATCGTGAGGATCTGTCTTTCTGAATCTTCTCTGTCTTTAGAAATTGTTGGAGACTTTCCTTTCAGTTTCCCTTTCATTGTCTCAGGGCATCCCGATAGATAAGATAGAAGCAGGGAGGTGGTTTCCACTAGTGGGTGAAAGTAGAACTAGGGGGCCTAGCCTCAAAATAAGTGGGAGCAGATTTATGACCGAGTTGAGGAGGAACTTCTTCACCCAAAGGATTGTGAATCTGTGGAATTCCCTGCCCAGTGCAGCAGATGAGGCTACCTTGTTGAATGTTTTTAAGGCAGACTTATTTGTTGAACAGTAAAGGAATTACAGGTTATGGTGAGCAGGTGGGTAAGTGGAACTGAGACCATGAAAAGATGAGCCATGATCTAATAGAATGGCAGAGCAGGTTTGATAGACCAGGTGGCCGTCTCTTCTGCCTAATTGCAATGTTCTTATGTTGTGAGGTGCTGTGTCTTCACTATTGTAACAACAGCAAAGCTCTGCTGTTACAGAAACCTGGGGGAAAAAGTCCTGAAATTGTAGGGAATGCTCAATTGGCCAGACCAGCATCAGCGAAGAGAGAATGACAAAAGAACACAGAACAAAGAACAAAGAAAATTACAGCACAGGAACAGGCCCTTCGGCCCTCCAAGCCTGCGCCAATCCAGATCCTCTATCTAAACCTGTCGCCTATTTTGCAAGGATCTGTATCCCTCTGCTCTCTGCCCATTCATGTATCTGTCTAGATACATCTTAAATGATGCTATCGTGCCCGCCTCTACCACCTCCGCTGGCAACGCATTCCAGGCACCCACCACCCTCTGCATAAAGAACTTTCCACGCATATCTCCCTTAAACTTTTCCCCTCTGACCTTGAAATCGTGACCCCTAGTAATTGAGTCCCCCACTCTGGGAAAAAGCTTCTTGCTATCCACCCTGTCTATACCTCTCATGACTTTGTAGACCTCAATCAGGTGCCCCCTCAACCTCCGTCTTTCTAATGTAAATAATCCTAATCTACTCAACCTCTTTTCATAGCTAGTGCCCTCCATACCAGGCAACATCCTGGTGAACCTCCTCTGCACCCTCTCCAAAGCATCCACATCCTTTTGGTAATGTGGCGACCAGAACTGTACACAGTATTCCAAATGTGGTCGAACCAAAGTCCTATACAACTGTAACATGACCTGCCAACTCTTGTACTCAATACCCCGTCTGATGAATGAAAGCGTGCTGTATGCCTTCTTGACCACTCTATCCACCTGCGTTGCCACCTTCAGGGTACAATGGACATGAACACCCAGATCTCTCTGTGCATCAATTTTCCCCAGGGCTTTTCCATTTACCATATAGTTCACTCTTGAATTGGATCTTCCAAAATGCATCACCTCGCATTTGCCTGGATTGAACTCCATCTGCCATTTCTCCGCCCAACTCTCCAATCTATCTATGTTCTGCTGCATTCTCCGGCAGTCCCCTTCACTATCTGCTACTCTACCAATCTTAGTGTGCTGGCATCACTGCTGGCAGGAGTGAATGTAGGCAACCAATTTACACACAGTAAGCTCTGAGAAACACATTATGACCAGATGAACTATTTTAGCCTCTCCTTATTTTTACATGGGTGCCACTGGGTGGGCCCAGCATTTATTGCCCGTCCCTAGTTGCCCATTAAGGTGATGGTTAGCTGCCTCCTTGAGCCATTGCAGTCTATGTGCTTTAAAATCAAACAGTCATTGGATGTAAAGCATTTTGGGAAATCCTGAGGTTATAAAAGGCAAGACAGAAATACATTTCTGAAGAAGGATCCAGACCCGAAACGTCAGCTTTCCTGCTCCTATGATGCTGCTTGGCCTGCTGTGTTCATCCAGCTCTCACCTTGTTATCTCAGATTTTCCAGCATCTGCAGTTCCTACTATCTCAGAAATACAAGTTAGTTTTTTTTTCTGGTAGAATGGAGTTCTGTACAACACACTTTGTGTAGATGAGAGTTCAGTCCTGCCCCTGGTGCCATTGCTGTTTGAGACAGCTGGTGAGGGGTTTTGTCTGTACACCGGGGTGAGCGTTGACAACTGCCTATACTATCTGTCCACAGGTGATGATGAACAAAGTGACTGGTTCTACGAGGGCGAATGTGAACAAGGATTCCGTATCCCCAAACTGCTCACTCGCTGTGACCCACAACTCCGAGCACCACTGGCAGGCGAGGGCCAGGGTGTAGGACAGTATGGCTCACCCCCGTTCCTTCTGCCCAGTCGCCCAGCACAGAGAGGTGAGAGTGGAGCCTCAAACAGGAAATCGGACCCAAAGCCTGAGCATGTTGTACCACTAACACTCACCAGCCCAGAGCATTCTCGCCTGGTGCCCACAGCCATACCGTGGAGTGTGTAGCACTTGGTTTTACTATGTTCACGAGCTGATGCCCATCTGGTTTTGTGCTTCCTCAGGTTACCATGCTCGCTTGAACCGTCTCCCAGGCATTGCAGCTCGGTGTATTCGTAAAGGCCGAAGATGTTTGACAGGCAAGGTAACGGTATTGGTGCAGAGAGCTCACACTCGTTTGGGGTGGGAGGGATGGTGCACAGTCAGTCGCCAGGGTGTTACCTGGTTTGTCACCAGCTCTGCCTGGGCCTTCAGAAGTCTATAATACACTCGGCCTGTCTGGCTCTGTGTGTCGCAGTGGGTTCCACTGGGTGGAACATCCTCCCCTTTCTTGTCTGCCTCGCCATCTCTCTCTCCAGCTGTCTGCTCCCACCACTCCTCTTCTCCCTCCCCCAAACGCACCCCCTCCAACCCTGAGTCAGTTATCAGGGGCCGGGAGCTGGGAGCTGGGAGCTGGGAGCTCTGGCCTGTTTGATCGAGCTGATAAATACCGAGCCTGCTGAATGAATGAGTGGAGACAAACTCCTCTCTTTGTGGGTAATCAGGAATAATTGAAATGTAAACAGTTAGCGTGTCGATGGTGGGTTATTAGCAACAGCTTCTGTTTAGTTCCAGTGAGTTGTGTCTGTGGGTAATCTCCAAACTGATTGACAGAATGTTTCATTTCACAAATCAACAATTAACTGTGGGATGGATTTTATAGCTATTATTTTAACACGCTCTGTACTAACCCTAACAAACTCCGCTTTTGTTCATCTCGTCTCTCAACCTCAGCCAGGTCATTGTTGTAATAGAATAGCACACAATAAGATCCCCCAATCAATATATAGGAAGGAGAGGGACAGGAAAAAAAGGAAAGGCAGAGGGTTGGAAGATAGACAAGAGGGAGGGGGATAGCAGAAAGCGATTGGGGAATGGGGCTGGAGAAAGGAAGTAGAGAGAGTGTGGGAGAGGACTGATAGAGAACGGAAAGAGAGAGAGAGAGAGACAGAGAGACAGAGATGGATGAAGGAGTGTGGAGTGCAGACAATAGAGACAGGGCAGGAAAACCTGGATGGAAGGGGGAGAGAGGGGATCTGAATTGATGCTTTCAGTCACAATTGTTTAATTTCACAGGCTGAGCCCTGTGCTAGGGTGTGGAGCTGGAGGAACACAGCAGGCCAGGCAGCATCAGAGGAGCAGGAAAGTTATGTTTTGAGTTTACAACCTTTATCAGGTCATAAGTTCTGAAGAAGGGTCCCGACCCGAAACACCAACTTGCCCGCTCCTCTGATGCTGCCTGGCCTGCTGTGTTCCTCCAGCTCCACGCCTTGTTATCTCAGACTCCAGCATCGGCAGTTCCTACTATCTCTGGGCCCTGTACTAACTCCTAGAGGTAGTGAGCAAAACTGTACAATAGGAATTAGGAAAAGAGCTGGAGATTGGGACTAAGTAGATGACTGCTTGCTTAGAATCATAGAATCCATACAGTGTGGAAAGAGGCCATTCAGCCCGTCAAGGCTGCACCAACCCTCCAAAGAGCATCCCACCCAGACCCAGCCCACTACCCCATCCCTATAACCCTGCATTACCCATTGCCAACGTAACTAACCATATGTTTGGACTGTGGGAGGAAACCGGAGCACCTGGAGGAAACCCACACAGACACGGGGAGAATGTGTAAACTCCACACAGACAGTCACCTGAAGGTGGGATTGAACCTGAGTTCCTGGTGCTGTGAGGCAGTGATGCTAACCACTGAGCCACCGTGCCTCCCTCCATCTGTGAGGCTGCTTCTGTGAAGTAATTTGTGTTTGTGTCTGTGTCTGTTCCAGCAGGAGGGACCTGTAGGTGTGATCCCAAATGAACGAGTGAGTCACTTTGGACAGGACCCCTATCAGAAGGAGTAAGTGACCATATTCAGTCATTTACGGAGCTTTTATACTGATTGGTTGTTGGAAACTGAATACTGAGGTATAAACCCTGAGCCTCGAAGCTGCTGTGTTTGTAAAGTTCCTGTCAAGGCTGACACAGCTGTACCCCATCTCGCTTTCCCTTTAGCTCCTGAAGCTGGTGGAATTGGGAATACTGTTCCGTTTAGCCACGGTCATGGTGAACTGGACTGACCTCATTGCTGAGGCCTGAGGTTAGCACTCGCGCAGATTCTCTCTGGAGCTGGCAGGTCTTTCCCTGTGCCTGGACCGGTCTCTGGCCCAAATTTCCCTGTTTCCATTGGGAAGGGAGCCTGGATGTCAGTCTGGCAGCGAAAGAGCTGTGTGCATTCTTCTGACCACTGCACAGATCACAGTGTGTTTATACAATTCTCTTCCTTGTTGTAGATTACGGAGAAACTTCTGTGTGAGAGGTCAGTGCCGAGAGTGGAGTGTACTGAACCGCCTTCAACCCTTGCGCGGAGTAAGTGAACACTATACATTACACCTGCTCGCCCTAAACACACACCCACTTCTTCAGTTGTTGAATTTCTGGTTGGATTCTAAGCTGTTGTATGTTTGACAAAGAAATATTTGAATCATAGAGATGTACAGCGTAGAAACAGACCCTGCCGCCCAATTCGCCCATGCCGATCAGATATCCTAAATTAATCTAGTCCCATTTGCCAGCATTTTGCTCCTATCCCTCCAAACCCTTTTCATTCATGTACCCATCCAGATGCCTTGTAAAGATTGTAATTGTACCAGCCTCCACCACTGCCTCTGGCAGCTCATTCCATACACGCACCACCCTCTGTGTGAAAAAGCTGCCCCTCAGATCCCTTTTAAATCTTTTCCCTCTCACCTTAAACCTATCCCCTCTAGTTTTGGACTCCCCTACCCTAGCCTACCTTGGCTATTTACCCTATACATGCCTTTCATGATCTTATAAACCTCTGTAGGGTCACCCCTCAGCCTCCGACGCTCTGGGGAAAATAGCCCCAGCTTATTCAGCCTCTCCCTATAACTCAAACACTCCAACCCTGGCAACATCTTTATAAATCTTTTCTGAACACTGTCAAATTTCACAACATCCTTCCTACATCAGGGAGACCAGAAATGCACACGGTATTCCAATAGTGGGCTAAGCAATGTCCTGTACAGCCGCAACATGACCTCCCAACCCCTACATTCGATGCACTGACCAATAAAGGCAAGCGTACCAAATGGCTTCTTCACTGCCCTGTCTACCGGGGGCTCCATCTTCAAGGGACTATGAACCTGCACCCCAATACTCCCCAGGAACTTCCCATTAACTGTATAAGTCCTGCCCTGATTTTCCCTACCAAAATGCAACAACTGTCTTGGGGAAAAAGCTTGGTGAAAGCAGGAAGGATTATATAGAAAGGTAATATTCTGTGGAATAAATGAATATATGAAGGAGGAGCAGAAGTAAGCCATTCAGCCCCTCGATCTGCTCCCCAATTCAGTAAGGTCAGGGCTGATCTGTTTGAATTTTGAATTTCACATTTGCACCTTCCCCTTGATGACCCTTCATCCCCGACTGAATAAGAATTGATCTCCATCCGTCTGAAAAACATAGTGACCCTGTCCCCCACCACCACCTGACGCTGAGAGTTCCAAAGCCACATGACCCTCTGAGTGAAAACACTCTCCTCGTCTCTGTCCTGAAAGGGCAGCCCCTCATTTTAACCACTGCCCCCTAGTTCTGGACTGACCCACAGGAAGGACCATCCTTTCACACATCCACCTTATCGAAACCATTCAGGATCTTAGACACTTCAATCCAGTCACCCCTCACCTCCACACTCCAGTGTAAGCAAACCCGGTCTGTCCAACCTTTCCTCATAAAGGAACCCACTCATTCCAGGGACCATTCCAGTAAACCTGCTCTGAGCCATCTCCAATACACAGGAGCAGGAGGCAGGGGTCCTGCATTCCCATTCCAACTGCAGCAGAAACTTGTTTCTTTCTATTGACCTGATCAAACCCTTTGGTCTCACAGCTGGGTGAGATCACTCCCTTGTTGCCCAGTCCCAGGTTATAGAGTATTCCAATATAATGTTTGGGAGGTTATGATTGACCTCCCCTCCCATTCATGGTAAAAGAAATGGCGTAACAGAGTGCAGTACTTGACCCTGAGCAGCAACTGTCTGCTGAGGATCCTTCTTATAACTGGGGGTAGGGGGTGGATATTGCAGTGGGGATGGGGGAGTCGGGGTGGGGGTTGCTGGGTGTGTGATATGTCGCGTCACTGTGGGACTGCTCCCCGAGGTGATGGGATTTTCTGGTTCCCCTTTTACAGCCGAGCTTCCCCAAGCAGCTCCCGCTGAGTGAATGTAAGTGACCCTTCAGTCAGGTCTTACTATAACAGGTGCGTCATTGTCTCATTGCTTTGTAGTTTAACCCTTTGGTGCCTCTATATCCGCTGGAGGTTCTGACTGACAGTTCTCACCGGAGATGCTCCACGCTTCAGAACAAATCCAGGTGAGTGTTATCCCAGGGCCACAGCTTCCCAGAGCACAGTGGTTTAAACAGACTGATTCTCATTATGACCTGCTCCTGATCACTGTCCAGTGATCCCTGTATTAGAGAGAGGGAAAATCAGCCAGGGTTCCTGCTCCTGATCACCGAGCACTGATCCCTGAGTTAGAGAGAGAGGGGAAATCAGCAGAAACTGATCGGAGGTGGTGCTGGATTGTTGAAGGGACCCATGCACCTTCCCAGGTCTTGCGTGGTGTCTATATGTCACCACATGCCCCACCTCATGGTGTTCTGTTGTTACAATATAGTGCTGTGTGTTAAACAGTTTCAACGTGGTCACTGTGGAACCAGTTAATTGAGGAACTCTGCTCTCGACCTTTGCAGGCAGACTAGTGTGCACCTTGGCTCATTATGCACTGGTGATGTGAAGAGGAGGAGGAAAACAGCAACTGTTGCCAGTCCTCCCACAGGTAATGACTCCTCGAAAAACACACTATCCTCAGATCACCCGCAACGGAGCTCAATAGCTTCCTGGTTCCAGTTATCACTGCAGCTAGATCCATGCACCACACTTCGAGGCAGAGATTAATACAGGCCTCGCGGACAGGGAGAGCGGGGCAGTGGGATTAGTTTGGGGATCCATACAGGGCTATGCGGAGTGAGCTGGGCAGTGGGATTAGTCTGGGGATCGATACAGGGCTATGGGGAGGGAGGGGGCAGTGGGATTAGTCTGGGGATGGATACAGGGCTACGGGGAGGGAGGGGGCAGTGGGATTAGTTTGGGGATTGATACAGGGCTGCGGGGAGAGGGAGGGGCAGTGGGATTAGTTTGGGGATTGATACAGGGCTATGGGGAG